TCCTGATAATTGAACTTTAAAGCTAATAAACCGTGCCAAACCCCAAAGTAGTCACCTTAATATTAAAAAAAAAAAAACACGAAAATAACAATCATAATAATATGTAATAATAATGATGATTATAATAATAAAAGATTACCTGTTTGTCGTTGGATGAATCTGCTCTGAAGCTGAAAAAACGGCGATACGACTAAAAATTCCATTCTGAATTTCAGATCGAAACACACCACTACCACTAGGGTTTGTAGGAAAGATTCTCTTTTCTGATTCGTTTTCGTTCAGAGAATTTTGGCGATAATGTGGATGCTGATATTTACCATGTGAATGCGGTGTATGAGGTGGAAGTGGTTCAGGACTTTCGCGACTATTTTGACCAGTGTTAGGTCTTTCTCTTAATTCATTCTCTCCATGAGCAAAATTACACTTAGGTCCATACTGACAAAAATTTTCCTTCATAAATCGTTCGCATAAGCGTGTCTTATACAAAGGATTATCTGGACCGTCTTTTGCGGTAGGAGGTATGTCAACCTTTTCCTCACCAGGAGGTCTTTCCCTTAATTCAGCAGTTCCGTGAGCAAATGTGCACTTTGACCCGTATGGGCAAAACCTTTCTGTCTCAAAGCGTTCGCATAATCGCGTTTTATAAAGCGGATTTTCGAATGGCATCACTGGAGAGTGAAGGGGTGACGAAAAGCCATTTCCATTCTTTTCTGGGCGATTATTTTGTTGACGCTGTTCTCTGCCTAACTGACGACTCATAGCTTGTCGTTGTGAATCTAAAGGTAAAGCAAAGTTCCAAATTTTCATTTTGCTTTCTAACCTATCGCTATTGATTTGACTTTTCTCAACACGTGATCGCTGTTGAGGTTCCGAATTTTTTGGAGGTTTGTTATTCTCGACATACGCGAAGGCTTGCTTAATAACTTCTTGCATACTCTTATAAAGAACTTTATCAGTGGCTTGGTTAAGAGGTAACCATGCAAAATTGAGACCTTCGCCGCTTGTATAAACACGGGCATGATCCGATACTTGGGCAAGGTAATAAACAACTCTTTTAGGTCTATAATTTTAAATAAAGAACTATTTATCGAATCAGCATTCTCGATCGGTAAAAAAAATTCTATTATAAATACCTTGTTCCAGATAAATAAGTAATTTCAGCTCTAAAACCGTCTTCTATTCTTAAATCTTTTACCGAAAGGCCAGTGATTTCGATCGTATTACGAAGGGCGCATCTGAACATTGAAAAGTCGAAGCGCATATAAAGTTGTTATATTTATTTAATTGGCCAGTTTTTATCAATAAATTTAAAGCACACAAAATTATAAAAAAGAAATCCAAAGATCGTATAAATATTAACAAGATCAGGACTAGTATTTATATTCGTGAATAAAAAAAACCTTACTTTACTTCGTCTTCTTGACGAATTACTTCACCTTTCGGAGCAGTCCAATGTTTTTTATGCGAAAAAGTATCGTTTAACAATAAAAATTCAACTTGTCGTAGTATACGATATATGAGTATTCCTGTAACATGGAGAGGATGCGACTTGTTCTCGTCCATGAGCGAAGGGAAGGTTGCAATTAAACAGAGTTACAATTAAATAGTTAATAAAGACGTGGAATGGTATTTTTGGTCCTGCAATCACTATTATTTGTTCCTATTTCAATTTTAGTAACTTTAATGCTTTCTGATTTATCAATAATCTTTTATATGGGAGCTTAAATAAATTATAAAATTTTAACTAGCGAAGGATTTTTTGATATCTTATTTTTTTTAGAATTAGTGTAACTACTATGCATATTATTGATTAAACTCCATAGGTTAATAGATTGGCATGTGACTTGCCACATTATTCCGGTATTGCAAAAAAATTAGTGAATTACTGGTAACTAGGGATGGATTGGTCCGGTCCAATCTGTCCAGTCTTAATAAGACCGGTCCATTAACGTCCGGTCTCGGTCCCAAAAACGGTCCCGACCTCTAACTATCCTATTGGCTAGCGGAGAGAATTAAATCATAAAACATCGGTAATTGAAATAAGTGATTTTCTGAAATAATTGTTTAATTAGCTATTTGGGGTATGGACTAGGAAAACCCGCCTCTGACACTTTTTTACCAATTTCGAGACTTTTGATTCAAATTAAAGTGCTATATGTAATTCACTTTTACCATACGTTGATATAATAATTTATCGATTCAATTTTTTAACGTTCGTGTTCTAAAAATAGATTGACAGCCAAAGATTGGTCAATCAGTGTTTTATAATTACATGATGTTTATTCAATATCTAAAAATAAACAATAAATTCGGGGGTAAAATTTAGATTTCACAGACAAATAATCGCTGTCTTCTCAAAATGGAAACCCCCTTCAGAGATGGATTTTCTAGTCTATGCCCCATTTATGAGAACCAATCCGAACTGGTCTTCGAACCGGAGAATTAATGGTTCTTATTTTGTCTCTTCAGAACCAATCCAGAAAAAAACAAATTCTATTACTCAAAATGTTGACTAACCGCATATAATGTAGATTACTATCGATATATAATCTTTTTTTTTTTTTTTTTTTTTAATATTAAGGTGACTACTTTGGGGTTTGGCACGGTTTATTAGCTTTAAAGTTCAATTATCAGGA